AGGTTAATCATAGAATTGATGAGGGAAAAAAGGTAAGTGGTGCGTTGAGGTATATGTGGAGTCAAAAAACGTTATCTATGGAGGCAAAGAAGGGAATGTATGAAAGTATAGTAGTACCAACACTTATATGGGTGTGAAGCTTGGGTTGTGAATGCAGCAGCAAGGAGGCAGTTGGAGGCAGTGGAGATGTCCTGTCTAAGGGCAATGTGTGGTGCAAATATTATGCAGAAAATTTGGAGTGTGGAAATTAGGAGGTGTGGAGTTAATAAAAGTATTAGTCAGAGGGCTGAAGAGGGGTTGCTGAGGTGGTTTGGTCATTTAGAGAGAATGGATCAAAGTAGAATGACATGGAGAGCATTTAAATCTGTAGGAGAAGGAAGGCGGGGTAGGGGTCATCCTCGAAAAGATTGGAAGGAAGGGATAAGGGAGGTTTTGTGGGAGAGCAGGCATGCATGAGCGTGTTCGATAGGAGTGAATAGAGACAAATGGTATTTGGGACCTGACGATCTGTTGGAGTGTGAGCAGGGTAATATTTAGTGAAGGAATTCAGGGAAACCGGTTATTTTTATATAGCCTGACTTGAGTCCTGGAAATGGGAAGTACAGTGCCTGCACTCTAAAGGAGGGGTTTGGGATATAGCAGTTTGGAGGGATATGTTGTGTATCTTTATACATATATGCTTCTAAACTGTTGTGTTCTGAGCACCTCTGCAAAAACAGTGATTATGTGAGAGTGAGGTGAAAGTGTTGAATGATGATGAAGGTATTTTTTTGGGGGGATTTTCTTTCTTTTTGGGTCACCCTGCCTCGGTGGGAGATGGCCGACTTGTTGAAAAAAAAAAATTAATAACATAGAAACATGATATATACTCTAGAATGAATAATATTTGCCGTAGTGTATGAGACGAGTACATGGTGTAAGTGTTATTGTTGGGTTTAAGGGCCACCACTGAGAGAAGCCGTGTTGGTGGCAGTGGAGGATTTTGCCAGCTCCACCATCACACTTAAACAATGTATGTAATTTATAAATAAGAAATATTTACATTTTAATTTATAAATAAGATATATTTACATTTTAATTTTTAAGTAAGTTTATTCAGGTATACACAAATAAAGTTACATAGATTATCATACAAAGCAGCATGTGTAAAGTACCTAGGATAACCCAAAAAAGTCAGTGACTTACGTATTTCCATTGAGGTCCTTTTATATTTACGCTTATATTTACACTTATATTTACTTTTATACTTACACTTTTATGTTTACACTGACCTTGGAGGAGATGTTAGTTTAATTAGTTAGTTTGATGGAGGAGCTGCTGACAGAGGTTTAGGGTGGTGGAAGATACATAGCAGGCCGGCGTATATTCATTGGCCCGATACACATCCTACAACATTGGAGAGTTACTATTGTGCCGTTTTTTCTATCGCCTGCTCACTTAACTTACTTGCTACACTGTTAATTCTACACTTTATCGCTCGCAGGCACTATAGCCTTTATCGATACCTGCTGCTTTAGTATCGTACGTATCGTAGAATCACTGAATCACTGCAGAAGGCACATTCTCCCCTCTCTCTTTCTCCTCCACTTTGGTACTTTGCTACAAGTTTTTTCTTGAATCTTATTGTGTTTCTTTCCTTCTTTATTACAGGGCTGGCACTAGAAACTTTCTTTGAGCCCATGGTGCTTATTTAGCAGTTACAAGCACTAAAGACACTGGAATAATACAAAATATATCGCAGGTACACTTGGAATCAACCGAAACGGCTTGTAAATACTGGCTGTACGTGGAGTCTTGGAGTGGCTGGGCCAGCTCAGGCCGCGCTCCGGCCCCATGGACAAGTTCGGGATAAACGTTGTTAGATGAGTTTTTTGACGTTGGTAGAGCCTTATTTCTTTTATGCCAAAGAGCGCCATTAGACGAATTTGCCGTTACTAATGCCGCCGTTAGTTGAGGGTCCACTGTGTAAAGATACAATATAAAAAGTAACCTGAAATAATATAATAAACATTTTTTCATGTAGAATATAATATCAGGGCCCCAATTATATGTATATATACTGTCCTATTACACATCCCTCCAAACTGCCAATATCCCAGACCCCTTCTTTAATGCCTTGACTGTCGCAAGCCCATTTCTGAAACTCATTCTATGTCTCAAAATTTAAAAAAAAAAAAAAAAAAAATCTTATGAAATGATAGAGAATCTTTTTCCAATGGTAATGACACCAAAAGTACGAAATTTGACTGAAAACTTACGGAATTACACTCCCATGAAGTTAGCGATATATACGCATCGGAGATTTTGCCAAATTTGAGCCCTATTTTCAGCCAATTACACTGTTCCAGTCGACCAAACTCATAGGTTTGTTTAGATCTTCATTTTTTCTATCAATTGAGAAAAAGAAACTGCTCATTTACCAATTTCAATTACTCAATAAAGTGGTCAGAAATTGGCAATTTGGCCGATTTTATGCAAATTAAAAAGATGCCAATTTCAAAATAAGGTCCAGAATAAACAATGCAGACATTCTTTGCACTAAAATAACATATCTTCTGTTCATTAGTCATGTCTCCAGGCCCCTCTTACATTACTCTTGCTTTTTATTTTGATTTTTTATTCAGACAAAAAAAATAGATTTACTGTTATGCAGACTACTGCATTATTGTAAAAATGGTATAAATAATATCAGTGCACTAGTGAAAGAATGTTAGACTCCCCAGTTGACGTGTATTGGACATGTGGTGTGATTTGTTTACTCCTGAACATTGGTAAAAATCAAACATTTCCACTATTTTGAGCTCAATTTCAAGGTCGTTTTCATCGTGAAACCAATCAAAATCATCACTCTTTCTGTAATATGTTTTCCATTCTATCAAATGAGACCAAGAAAACGAGAATACAACCATAAATACTATACGAAAATACACCTCAAAGTCGGCGTTTTAATCCAAAAATACGGTTGGATTTTTTTTCTCATGCACTGCATGCTGCAGGATTTTTTTTTTATACAGTGCACACTGACCACACAAACCCATTCTCTCACATGTGGGCCTACCAGCTTTCTCCTACTTGATTTGAAGCCGCTAGAATTTTTGAGTATATTGTACGTATATACACGTACGTCCAAAACACTGGCTCATAAGACATATATATGGTGAAAAAAGTCAAAGGGTTAAAGTGCAGGCATTATGCTTCCCATTTCCACAACTCAAGTCCGGCTATATAAAAATAACCAGTTTCCCTAAATCCCTTCACTAAATATTACCCTGCTGTCACTCCAACAGCTCGTCAGGTCCCAAGAACCATTCGTCTCCATTCACTCCTATCCAACACGCTCATGCACGCTTGCTGGAAGTCCAAGCCCCGCACCCACAAAACCTCCTTTACCCCCTCCCTCCAACCTTTTTGAGGACGACCCCTACCCCACCTTCCTTCCCCTACAGATTTATACGCTCTCCATGTCATTCTACTTTGATCCATTCTCTCTAAATGCCCAAACCACCTCAACACCTCTCTTCAGCTCTCTGACTAATACTTTTATTAACTCCACACCTTCTCCTAATTTCTACACTTCGGATAATATTTACTATTATTATCCACACTCTGGATAATATTTACACCACACATTGCCCTTAGACAGGACATCTCCACTGCCTCCAACCGCCTCCTCACTGCAGCATTTACAATCCAAGCTTCACACTCATACAAGAGAGTTGGTACCACTATACTTTCATACATTCCCTTCTTTGCCTCCATTGATAACGTTTTTTGTCTCCACATATACCTCAATGCACCACTCACCTTTTTTTTTTTCCTCATCAATTCTATGGTTATCCTCATCCTTCATAAACCCATCCGCTGACACATCAACTCCCAAATATCTGAATAAGTAAGTAAGTAAGTTTATTCAGGTATACACAAATACAGTTACATAGATTATCATACATAGCAGCATATGTGTATAGTACCTAGGATAACCCAAAAAAGTCAGACAGAGTGACTTATTTCCATTGGGGTCCTTTACATTCACTTCTTCCATACCCCTTCTCTCCAATGTGATATCCAATTTTTCTTTATTTAAATCATTTGATACCCTCATCACCTTGGTCTTATCTATGTTCACTTTCAACTTTCTACCTTTACACACCCTCAGATGTACTTGTGGTAAATACGTACTAGATCCAGTCTTGCTGACTCATCCTTTCTTTTCTTTTGTCATATCCTTAACATGCTGACTCAGAAAGTTTTCTCTAATCACATCCATCAACTGAGCCCTACACATTTTTGGTCCCCAATGCGGGTCCTACTGCTCCTAATCTATTTCCCAGTGTTAAAATCACCCATTAGGGAGGGAAGGACAGAGGGAATGTTTATGAGGTTGGGAGGTAAGGAAATGCAAGATAAAGGGGAAAAGAAGAGAAGAAAGGATAAAGACTAATGACCACTTAACATATTTTTTAGTTTCACTGTTGAAAAATAAATTAATTTAGATATAGAATATTTTGGTTAGGGAACATATCTCCAATTATAACATTGGTGTCTGTTGAAAAGTAGGTTGCATTTTCTGAACACTCATGTAACAAACAATTTTCAAGAATACGTTAGAATGCATGGGGAAATGAAACGGAATTCTTCCTCCGTAAGCCATGCATGTCATGAGTGGCGACTAAAGTGCCAGGATCAAGGGGCTAGTAAACTCCTTCTCTTGTATACATTACTAAAGTTAAAAAGAGAAACTTCTGTTTTTCTTTTTGGGCCACTCTGCTTTGGTGGGATATGGCCGGTTTGTTGAAAAAAAAAAAAATACCAAGGGGGGACCTACTGTATAACTAAAGCTCATGACTAGTGCCTCTTGCAAGATGCACAATGCTCTGTAGGTACAAATAGTAAGCATTTTTTTTTTAATGCATTGGCCATTTCCCACTGTGGCAAGGTGACACAAAAAAGAAGCATTTTTATCATCACTTATAATAAGTACATATGTATTTCTGTTGCAGGTTGAGACTTTTTCATACCCTCGGGTATCAGCAGGACAATTACATACATCCTCACTTATAGTTGAGCCACCAGCTAGCAGGAATGTGTCGGCTGTATCCTCTCCTCTGTCTTCAAATTTTGCATCTGCTCCAGCTACTGTAACATCACCACGCACGGAAGAAACATTAAATAAGGATATCCCAGCATCAGTTCAGAGCAGTCTTCTGCCAGGAAACCCAATGTTTTATAGCTCGCCTCTCTCTTTGACTAATGCAACACAGTTGAGCAGTAGCTCCACTGCACAGAACCTACAGACATCCCAATCATCTGAATCTTTGTATTCATTGAGCCCAATACTGCAGCCTGGTGGCTCACATGTGAATATTCATCCATCCAGTAATTCTGTGTCAACAAGTGCTAGTTCTGCTTTCATGCTTGGAGGAGACTCATTTGATGATGGAATGGGATCTGGAGCAATGAGTCTCTTTGGCTCACCAGTTGCACGTATGTTATCTGTGCTACTCACCTTATCTGTTTCTGTCACTTTGCTCTAAATTGCTTTGTTTCTTGGCTTGAATAATTTAACCCTTTGAGTGTCGACAGGCCCTCTCCGAAACTCGTTCTCAGGGTCGGCCAAATTTCAAAAAAAAAAAAAAAATTATTTTTCTTATGAAAAAATAGTTTTTTTTTCTAAACATTATAGGATAAACAAAAAAAATTTACCATCAATACTTACGGAGATATGGATGCATGAAGTTTGCAGAAAATGAGCCGCGTATGGCAACAGCGGCGACTGCGCTCACCCGGTAAACTTTAGTTTACTTGTATTTGAAGGTTTGTTGTTTTTTTTTCACTATTTTATTTTTTCACATAACTTATGTGGCCTGTGAGACCAAAGTAAGGTGCAATGTACATATATACACTCGTTGTATACAACACAATAAGCACACAAACATAATTATCAATATATTGTTTACAAAACTTGTTTACAAAAACAAACAATACAAAACATTGTTTATTATTATTGTTCTATAATATATATACCAATATAGAGTCACTGAACATATTCCTATTAGTTCTGCAGCTTGTGGAACTCTGAAACATGGTGTCATACACAATGGTGATTTATCTTTCTCCCTCATTCTATCTCTTTCAATCTGTCTCTCTCTTTCTATCTGTCTGTCTATCTCTGTCTCACAGGTACACATAAATACAAGTATACATAGTATAAATTACCTAGGATAACCCAAGAAATCCAGACAAAGTGCTATACTCTGCTTGAAGATGTGAGTAAAAGTGATGACACAGTCTTGTGGCTCTCTGAGACAGAGAGCTAGACGGATAGACAGATAGACAGGGAGCTTGACAGACAGACAAATAGACAGACAGAAATGTTAGTGTACCAGTGCCAGTGTACTAGTGTTCCACCCTCCTCCTCCTCTTCTTCCTCTTCCTCCTCTTCCCCCTACTCTTCCTCCTCTTCCCCTACTCTTCCTCATACTCTTCCTCTTCCTCCTACTCTTCCTCTTCCTCCTCCTCCTCTTCCTCCTCCTCCTCTTCTTCCTCTTCCTCCTACTCTTCCTCCTCCTCCTCTTCTTCCTCTTCCTCCTCTTCCCCCTAATCTTCCTCCTACTATTCCTCTTCCTCCTCCTCTTCCTCTTATTCCTCTTCCTCCTACTCTTCCTCTTCTCCTCCTCCTCTTCCTCCTCCTCTTCTTCCTCTTCCCCCTACTCTTCCTCCTTCTCCTCCTCCTCCATAGTGTAAATTACCAGGAGTCAGCAGCTGTCAAAATGACATATTGTCTCATTACTCACTCCCCCTCCCGCCTGTCAAAACAATGGGGTCGGATGCTGCTTCCTTTCCTCCATTCTATCTAATTATCTTTCTCCCTCATTCTATCTGTCTGTTTATCTCTGTCTCACAGGTACACATAAATACAAGTATACATAGTATAAATTACCTAGGATAACCCAAGAAACCCAGACAAAGTGCTATACTCTGCTTGAAGATGTGAGTAAAAATGATGACGCAGTCTTGTGGCTCTCTGAGACAGAGAGCTAGACGGATAGACAGGGAGCTTGACAGACAGGAAAATAGACAGACAGAAATGTTAGTTTTTTTTTTTTTTTTCAACAAGTCGGTCGTCTCCCACCGAGGCAGGGTGACCCCAAAAAAAAAGAAAGAAAATCCCCAAGAAGAAAATACTTTCATCATCAGTCAACACTTTCACCACACACACACATTATCACTGCTTTTGCAGAGGTGCTCAGAATACAACAGTTTAGAAGCATATACGTATAGAGATACACAACATATCCCTCCAAACTGCCAATATCCCAAACCCCTCCTTTAAAGTGCAAGCATTGTACTTCCCATTTCCAGGACTCAAGTCCGACTATATGAAAATAACCGGTTTCCCTGAATCCCTTCACTAAATATTACCCTGCTCACACTCCAACAGATCGTCAGGTCCCCAAGTATCATTCGTCTCCATTCACTCCTATCTAACACGCTCATGCACGCTTGCTGGAAGTCCAAGCCCCTCACCCACAAAACCTCCTTTACCCCCTCTTTCCAACCCTTTCGAGGACGACCCCTACCCCTCTTTCCTTCCCCTATAGATTTATATGCTTTCCATGTCATTCTACTTTGATCCATTCTCTCTAAATGACCAAACCACCTTCAACAACCCCCTTCTGCCCTCTGACTAATGCTTTTATTAACTCCACACCTTCTCCTAATTTCCACACTCCGAATTTCTGCATAATATTTACACCACACATTGCCCTTAGACAGGACATCTCCACTGCCTCCAACGTCTCCTCGCTGCTGCATTTACCAACCCAAGCTTCACATCCATATAAGAGTGTTGTACTACTATACTTTCATTACATTCCCTTCTTTGTCTCCATAGATGTTAGTATACCACAAAAACAAAGGAGGGCGATGTTCATCTCATCTTTGGTATCACCTCTACCCTCATTTACCCATCAAACGTCAGCACTTATCAGATGTTATCTCCCCTTATCTTCTTACTGTCATGGGTGAACATTATATTACAATATTATTATTATTATTATTATATTATTATTACCTATTATTATTATATGTATTATTATTATGTATTATTATTATTATGTATTATTATTATTATGTATTATTGTTATCATTACGTATTCTTCTTCTTCCTCCCTCCTCCTCCTCCTCTCGCCTCCTCCTCCTCTTGCCTCCTCCTCCTCTTGCCTCCTCCTCCTCTTGCCTCCTCCTCCTCTTGCCTCCTCCTCCTCTTGCCTCCTCCTCCTCTGCCTCCTCCTCCTCCTCCATTCTTGGAACAAGTTTGAAGAGCTTGTAGTTCATAATCACTATCACATACATCACCAATGCTCACAATCTGAGTCTGGATTTTGGAAAATAGGAGTTTCCTCTTTGATTCTGGTACAACTGAACGTGAACAAGACGGCCCAGCACCAAGGTGGAAGGCTGTGGGTTTGTCTGGGTTTTCCTCACTATTACCCATATTATGGTCATTAGTTTCGGTCAAAACCTCACCAGAACCTTGAAACTCATCTTCACTTCACTTCCATCTGTATTAGAACTGTCACTGGGGAACAAAAGTGTCCCAATTCGCCGAGGAGTGAGGAACTTCTTACCCCAGGGCACGGTGGAAATTGTTGTACTATGATGGCATTCCCACAATGCACCACTGGGTCCCAGATTTTTTTCCTACTGCGCACACCCACCACACGACCCATTCTCTCACATCTAGGCTTATCAGCCTTTTCCTGCGAGATTTGAGGCCGCTAGAATTTATGCGTACTAGTACGTCAAAAACCCCTACGCGTAAGACGTACTAGTACGACCAAAACCCTCAAAGGGTTAATACCACTTCTCCCTCTAAGTTTAATAATAATATATATCTTTATTTACAACAAGTGCATGTACATGTACAGTGATTATGTACGAGTGAGGTGAAAGTGTTGAATGATGATGAGAGTATTTCCTTTTTGGGGATTTTCTTTCTTTTTTGGGTCACCTTGCCTCAGTGGGAGACGGCCAACTTGTTGAAAAAAAAAAATGTACATGGTATACCAGGCCTAGCTGACACCAATGACATACTATTATATAGAAAGCCGCTTGTTATGCTGAGCATTTCAGGCAAATTAGGTCAGTTTTGTCCCAGGATGCAACCCACACTAGTCGACTAACACCCAGGTACCCATATTGAACTGATGGGTGAACATGGACAGGGATAGCAGGGGTCTTATCGAAACACGTCCCTAATGTTTTCCAGCTGTACCAGAGGAGATTTGAACCCCGGACCTCAGTGTGTGAGCTGAGTGCACTAGCAATCGAGCTTGTGCCTTCTTTCATATTAATAAGTACAATATATATTTCAATAAATAAAAATTATTTCTTAACTCTCCATTTTCTTTGTACAAGCTCATTCCCAACTCTTTCCACTTCTACCAAACTTACTCTTAGAGAATGTATTTTAAGTCATCTCCCCAGTTATTCTCATAGTACATTAAGAGTTACTTAAATGGTATAGTATTTCACTTCTAAAAAAAACTGAAGGTTCAACTATACCTTCAAAGAGACTTATCAAACATTTAGATGTTCAGTGAATATTTGCTCTCTATACAGTAGGGCCCCGCTTCACGGCGTTTTGCCATACGGTGTTCTCCTAATACGGCGATTTCAAATTATGACCAAAATTTGCTATACGGCTCGTCCCACCCAGTATGTTTATATTTTCCATGAGCACATCTCTCTATTATATCTGGAAATTTTTCAAAATTTCAAGTGTTTTAAAGTTATTGCACATTTTATTTATTTTTTTTTCAACAAGTTGGCCGTCTCCCACCGAGGCAGGGTGACCCAAAAAAGAAAGAAAATCCCCAAAAAGAAAATACTTTCATCATCATTCAACACTTTCACCACACTCACACATAATTACTGTTTTTGCAGAGGTGCTCAGAATACAACAGTTTAGAAGCATATACCTATAAAGATACAAAACATATCCCTCCAAACTGCCAATATCCCAAACCCCTCTTTTAAAGTGCAGGCATTGTACTTCCCATTTCCAGGACTCAAGTCCGACTATATGAAAATAACCGGTTTCATTGAATTTTTTTTTTTTTTTTTTTCAACAAGTCGGCCGTCTCCCACCGAGGCAGGGTGACCCAAAAAAGAAAGAAAATCCCCAAAAAGAAAATACTTTCATCATCATTCAACACTTTCACCACACTCACACATTATCACTGTTTTTGCAGAGGTGCTCAGAATACAACAGTTTAGAAGCATATATGTATAAAGATACACTTCACTAAATATTACCCTGCTCACACTCCAACAGATCGTCAGGTCCCAAGTACCATTCGTCTCCATTCACTCCTATCTAACACGCTCACGCACGCTTGCTGGAAGTCCAAGCCCCTTGCCCACAAAACCTCCTTTACCAACCCTTTCAAGGACGACCCCTACCCCGCCTTCCTTCCCCT